CTGGCTGGGCGGAACTGATGGTAAGCACCAATACCGGTAGGATATAGAGGCTGGTAGAAATCATAGAGGGAAGCACAATGGACCAATACAGGTCTCAGTGCATGGGGAAACCCACCCTCTCCAATAACTAACTAACTAGTATGTCATACCATCATAAAGAAGCTTCAAATTGAAAGCACCTTCAAAATTTTAAAATCTGAGATAAAGATGAAAAAACATATTCATCAGCCTCAGTTTATTTTAGAAATTTATCAAATTGGAAATTGCACCAAGATCTTTTTGAATAGTTTTAAAATTTTTAAATTCCTTTGTCATGTTTCTGTACAAGTTTCAGCATGATCATCAGAATTCCAATTCGCAGAGCTGCTTTTAGGTAGAGCACTGACATCTAAGTACTACACCTTACCTTAAGGAGCCAGGACCTCACAGTCGGTATAGCAACTTGCTACAGGCTGGATGACCAAAGGGGTCAAAGTTTGAGTCCCAGTACGGTCAAGAATTTTCTCTTCTCCACATCATGCAGACCAGCTCTGGGGTTCAACCAACATTCTATCCAACGGGTACCGGGGACAAAGCAGCCAGGGCATGAAGCTGACCACTTACCTCCAGCTGGTGCCATAGTCAAGAAAATGTGTATCTATCCTTCACCCTCCATACACCTTCATGGTGTAGTACTTAATAAGTTAACCAGAGGAGCAACTTTACCTTATAGCTTACCTTATGGTTCTTGTGACGACCATAATCCTTACATATAAAACACATTATGGGCCCCGGTCCAGACTGCAGTGTTTGACAGTCATCTTCCAAACATGTAAATTCAGCAACATGTGAAGGATGTGACGGGCATTTCGGCTTCTCACGAGGTTTATCAGAGAGAGGCACCCTACGATGCCTTGCAAGTGTACGAGTAGCATGAGTCAATTCTGAGCATTCCTCACAAAGATGTGATGTGCACACAGTGCAGTAGAGAACTGCTGTATGCTGTTCATTCTCATCACACAGAACTGACAACTGTGAAAGTAAGAGAGGCATCATCCATTATCATTCCGGTTACATACTGCATAATATAGCAAAAACTGAGTCTGATGTTTCCAATTCTGAATGATGATACCTTCATGTGGTGAGCTAGTTGCCCAACAATGTGGAAGAATCAGCATAGCTAACTGACTTACAGGTGACATGATTCTCGTATTTATAATATCAGATGAGGGAGTGGTAGAAATTACTTCACACTCAAGGTGGAGACTACTAATTTCTCCAAATTATGACAAGCCAGCCCACCACACCACGTCATTAACTAGATATGGAAATATATATATATACACGGCGTTTCACGACTTTAGGGCATAACTGCAGGAGGTGATTTCCTAGGTCTTTGTGATCAAAAAAGTTCATATTGTAACGTGTTTCGTTACTGAAGACGCCGTAGAGATGGTTAATTGGTTTATTTAACAATCTACAAATAACGGCTACAATTACTTATCACACAGTTGCGGGGTTTCACACTTTATAACCCTAATCGCATTAATCTGTTAACACTGTTGCGGGGTTTCACAATGCATCCGATTTTGGACGGTTACGGAGTCATGACAGTTTTGTCATTCCCGTACACACCCTCGTGTGAACCGCCATCTGTCAGCTGGCAGGTCGCTATCTTTAGCCAGCTACAGACAGAGCGTTCTCATTATCTCGACACTTGAGATGTACTACCTAAGGCGGGGTGAGTCGGTATGTCCAGCGTGGTTCACAACCGAGCGGCAGCCTGTGTTGCCACTGTTGGTGGCATTTTTGAAAATCAGCTTTAAGCACCAATAAATTCAAATTAAAGAAAATTTCAAGAAGTTAACTTTACATTCATTCTTTAAATGTATCATGTATTACGCTGGTTTATTATTTTGTTCTGTTTATTGTCAGTAATCGTTACTTTCTATTCTGAGTTTAAAATGGTCATAACTCCATAACCATCCAAACTCAGACACATGCTTATATGAACTTTTTTGATCACAAAGACATAGGAAATCACCTCCTGCAGTTATGCCCTAAAGTCGTGAAACATCCTGTATATATACTCGTATATCAATAATTATTGATTATAATTATAACCCACCTTGATAACTGAAGGCAGGTGACAGAAAGTTACAACACATTTATTTACTTTGTTCACTTTTATTAATAAAGATATAAAATTACCATCAATCAACAACACAGAGGTATGCAAATATGTGTTAGAATGTCTCATCAATAAGACTGATGTTATTAATTTAGGATAATTAAAAATATGGCTGTAAGAGGTTGAAGAAATAAAATGGAAAATACACGATAAAATCTGGGAAATCCATATAGGATAGGAAGTTATGAAGAACTCAGGTTACAATGAACATCCACAAACAAGAAATGAAGCTCAATGATACCAGGGTCATATAACACACTGGCAAGTCACCCTCACTGCACAGACATAGACCACCATGATGAATATTTCTGAAAAACTATACATCATAAGCCAGTATTCAAAGCATGAAAAACCTTTTATAAAAACCATTTCTTAAATTCTGTTAAGTTACGTGAAATGATGATATCCTCAAAATTAAATCAACACCATCTTCAAAAGACATGATACAAATCTTGATCATATCAGTGACTGTAACTCATTAAACCGCTTGTATGGAACATGTGTTACACTGGGTGTAGTCTTGGAGAAGTAACTGGAAAAATAAACACTGATACACAAATGACTGATCTGCACGTACAGTACCTGGCGTTCTTTTTCCAATACATCTGCAGTGTACAAAACGGTTGCCCTTTCATGAGTATACTGTAGTCTTTCCAATAATTCCAACAGTGCAAAGTTCTTTTTCAGTCCCCAAACACCTGAATTCCCTAATAACATACAAACATATAAGGATAAAATTAAACAGCAAGACATTGTCCAGAAAAGTAAATGCAATAGGTACATACAAAATTTTTAAGCAGAAAGTTCTTAAATGTAACTATGAGTACGAGTACTTTGATGACTGAGAAAGAGATTTTATGTAATATTTAAATGAATTTTAAAGAAACAGGTTGGAAGAATATAAACTAGATTAAAGTGGATCCAGATATGGCCATGTGGGTGACTCTCAATCTCACGTTCTTCCATCATAAAGTTCTTTACGTACTGAAAATCTATGTAAGGGGCCAATATTATGAAATTTACTGGATAGTTCATACAT